CTCCCCTTCAGGAGCCTTCTCTTCTCCAGGCTGCCCCAGCCCAGCTCTCTCAGCCTGGCTCCAGAGCAGAGCTGCTCCAGCCCTCTCAGCATCTCCATGGCCTCCTCTGGACTGGCTCCAGCAGCTCCACGTCCCTCTTGTGCTGCTGCCCCAGAGCTGGATCAGGGCTGCAGGGGGGGGTCTCCCCAGAGCACAGCAGAGGGGCAGGATCCCCTCCCTTGACTGCTGCTCACGCTCTGGGGGTGCAGCCCAGCACACAGGGGGTTCTGGGCTACTCACCCCCATCCTGCTTTGCTTGCAGAGCCAGCACACCCTGCACAGCCACCCCCATGCTTGCACCCTGGCACAAAGTGCCATCCATTCATTCAACACATCCCTAAAACACCTGATACCAGTATGAAGTTGGTATTGATACATCCCTGCAACACACATGTGGGGCACCTCTGCTCCCTCCTGGCCCCCAAGGGGTCCCTGCCAGCCTCCAGCATCCCCAGCGATACTCGCTCCCTGTGCTGCCTGCATCCCTGGGTACCAGCCAGGGCAGAGCCTGCTCCTAACCCTCCCAGGCGCTGCCTCTCCCTCCCTCCTGCCTGGCTGCACGTCAGCACCTTATCGCAGGAGGCCCTGTGGTTACCCCCTTATCTAAGGCTGAACTTTTGCCTCCGAGGATCTCCCTGCTACCCCCATCCCCACACGATGCAACAGGCAGCCGCACTTCATTCTGATGTCTCTGCAAGCCAGAAGCCAGGTTTGGGAGGGACTGCAAATCAGGATGGGTCTTTCCTGGTAAAATAAAGCCCTTTCTATGGAACAGGACCCCCATACCCGCTCCCAGACACAAGGATGCAGGGTCTGTGAGGGTGCTGGGACCGGAGCGGTCGGCTCAGGCTCCAGTTTAACACAGCTCCAGTTCAAGTCACACAAAGGCACTCAGGCCTTGGGAGCTATCGCAGCATTCAGTATTTACTCAGCTCCTCAAGCAGGTTTCGCAGCCCCGCTGGTGCCCACCCCTCTTTGCAGCCAGCTCAGGTATGTGTACACAAAGGACTAGTGCAAGCAGATCCTTAGCCCGCCTGCAAAGGGGACCGCTGCTCCCACCCTTGGGGAACAGCCTCCAAGCCCCTTAGAAGCATCCCCAAGGCACCCTTCACATCCCCAGATCCCTCTGCAGACAGCATCAGTGGTCACACCACCTCCAAGCCATGGTTCCCTACAGCCCTGTCCCCTTGGCATCTCCCTCCTGCTTTGATCACCCAGAGAAGCTGGAAATACAGCAGGGATACGGGAGCAACTACTGCTTCAGCATGGGAAAAGCAGAGTGGCAATGCCAGCTCCACAGATGTTCAAATCAGGCACCAGTTCATTTGGTCTCTAAAAGGAGTTCTCCCTGTTGCTGCCTGGTGTGACCTGCAACCCCAAAGATATGGCTCAAGTCTTTCTCCACTGAGACCATGAACCTGGACCCAACAAGGCACAAGTCAAACCCTGTGGTCGCTCCAGCCCTGGGCCTGAAGAAGGCTATGGAGGTGCTCAGCAGCAAGTCCTGACCATGTGTACAATAGAAGTAACCACATTTTAACACTAAAGTATGTTACAGAATACATAAAATACAGTATACTGCATAGTATTGACATGCATGCAGTATAATAAATGTATATGTGCACATTATAATACATTATTAACCACGCAGAAACACAAAGGTCCTGTCTCCAGCTTGCTCAGCGGATGGGGCACCCGTATTCATGCCCCAGAGATACCCGATGCAGGCGAGGACATTGTCCTGCCCCAGCACCCGTCCCCAAGCCCATGGCCGAGCTCAGGATCACGACTGCCGGGCACAGAAGGACGATCAGCACTAGCCAGGATGCTGTTTCCCAGCGCAATTCCCACCAGGAGATGCTCCCTCGCCCATCAGAGCCCACTGCTGCGTCCCAGGGCACCTGCACCCTCACAGATATTAGGGCCACCTTGTCCCTCCTTTCCCGTGTTTCGGCTCTCCTCCAGCCCTCGGGAAGCCTGCCAATGCCACAGGGCTTATGGAAAGTTGACTCCAGCAGGGTGAGGAGCACCTCTGGGGGCTTGCTCCTGCCTCGCACACGAGTTACAGCCGGGCTGCTGGGTTTAAAATACCTTCAGTGCCCTTCCCAGCGCACCCCGAAAACACCTTGGAAGCATCAGTACTCCAGATACACGTGCAGCATACACCAGCAGGAATACAAAGAGGAGCCGTGAGTGAGAGTGGCACCATTACCAACCAGTGTGGGCTCCAGACCCTGCCCGGGCTCCTTTGTTCTTGACTTTCTGGTTTTAGTTTGGGGTGGTTTTTTTGTTGTTTCTAAAAACACACTAAAAAAGAACTTTTCCTTTCAAAAGCCTGAACTTTCTCAGCTGCCGATACGTTACCTTGCAACAACTGCACGCAGTCCTTCACCTCTGCTTTATGTACATTGTCATCCGCCTCCCCGTTTTCCATATTGATTTATGGTTTACGTCCTTTTCACATTCCCTTTTAACAGCACCGGTTTTAACCAAAGAGCCTTCCCTCCCGAGCCCAAGCCATGCATTCTGCCGGCCACTCGGTAATCAACTTCCAATTTTCATGCACATTCCTGTTTATATTTCCTTCCCTATCGGCTTTGTTTCTAATTAAGGTTTGTTAAATGCAAGTGAATATATAGCATACAGAGAAATATAAAGCATGTAGATAAATAAACACCCCACACACAGGCACACTGACTAAAGGCTGCACTTTCAACCACGGATCCCAAAGCACTTTGTCATGTTCATTAACAAAACCTTGCGGCTCCCTTGGGAAAGATGCCGGTATTATTTTACGCCTTGTAATTAGGAAAACTGAGGCACAGAGGAGACAAGTGAAATTACCAGCATTAGAGAAAAGCTCCGTAGCAGAGCTGAAAACAGGACGCAAGAGGCAGGATCCCCAGGCAAATAACCAGGATGCGGTTTTCCCCCTTTTTTGCCCCCATTTTGGCTTTGGGAATCTGCCGGATCTGGTGATGACAGCATGGGGAGCATTGCCACCATGGAAGTGCCTGTGGCCAGGGTGATGTGGTGGGGTGCAGCCCTTACCTCCTTGGCCAGTGGCTGCCAGGTAAGTCTGCCTGCACCAACGGGGCCCAGGGCATCTGGAGATGCAGGCAGCCACTGCATCCAAGCATGCCATGGAGCTCCAGGAAGAGGCAACTCCCAAAGGGGAGGAAGGAGCAGTGGTGTTCCTAGGGAGAAGCGTCCCACACTCTTTTACCGTATCAGCTCTCCAGAATCCTTTGCAAGTAGGGAAAGGCTGGGACATGGTAGGTGGTTGCCCGCACCAGCACTGCAAGCGACCACTGCAACCCCATGACACACATACCATACAACAGGAGGCAACAGCAGGGGCAAAGGGAGGACCCCACTGAGCCTGTATCAACGCATTCAGCCCCAGATGGGGACAATCACTGGAAGCACAGGGCTTGGTCCTCCATTGACCATCTCCCTGGGAGCATCCCCACCCGTGGAGAAGCACACCTTCTGGTGATCATCTCAGGTGGATGAAAGCCCCCGCCAGTGCTGGCCGGCCCCTCATCCCCAGATGTATATTCCTCATCTCTTGGGAGGAGCCCAGGTGCTCCTGCATCCAGTCCCTGCTGCTACTGCCATGATGGTGGGAAAGTCACCCACTCCTCCACGCAAGCAGGCCAGTGTGCCAGGAGCGGGTCACCAACCCACAGCGCTGCCCGGCAGCTCCTCTCAGGGTGCAGGAAGCGCAGGGTGGGGTGATGGTGTCACCCTGTCCCTGCACAAGGTGCCAGCTCCATCTCCTGCTGTAGTCAGCACCAATGGCTCTGCACAGCCCAGCCAGCTCGGCCCCGCTGGCCAGGCACAAACCCCATTGTCAGTGTCAGCCACACCAGCCGATGAGGCCAGATGTCCCACGTGGACATGTATGCTCCCACAAACACGCTCACCACCCCAACCCTTCCCCCCCACCATAATTAAAACCATACCAGGCTCATTTGAATAGCATAGCTGGCTAGCGCTCTCCGCTGCAACGTAAATAGTCCTATTTATGCCAAGCTCCCATATTGTAAATATCACGATGTATAGCTGGCCAACCTATGAGTCATCTCCCAAAACTCCAACTTAATAAATGGTGCCTCATCCATGTTCCAGACAAACATCGCCCGTGCGGCTCCCACCGGCCGGCGCCTCCACACCCCGGGCCAACGAACCGGGGGGACCACAGGGACCTCCCGCAGCGGGCAGCCACCCGTGGACCGCGCTAGCTCCGGGATGAGCCGGGTTCCGGCCGGACACGATGCCCTCACCCCTGCCCAGCCCCGCTCCCCGGCGCTGCCCGGGCTGCAGGCTCGGTCGGGGTGGGCTTGGGAGCGGGAGGACGAGTCCGTCCCCCCCACACCTCCCCTTTCCTGGACCCCACGACCGGGCTCCCACCCAGGACCCTCCCCAGTGGAGCTCCCCACCTGCCGTTGCTTTGTCTGAGCACCGGGGGAAGGCGGCGGGGAGCCGCGAAAGCCACGCCGCCAGCAGGGAGCTGCCCGGGAGCTCGGGGATGCCGGCACGGCCTTGCTGAGCTGCGCCCAAAAGCTGCTTTCTACCCGCAGCGGGCACGGAGCGGCGGAGCCCGGGCATCCCTCAGAGCTCCCGGGGACCGGCCGAGCTGCCGGCGGGGGGATGCCCGCGCTAGCGAAGGGATGGCGGGGAGACGGGCTACGAGACCGAGGGGCTCTGGGGACGGCGCTGGGGGGGGGGCGGCGGCGACACACAAGGGGCCCCTGGCTCGGCACCGGGCTCCGGCGGCGGCAGCACTTCCCAAACTTCACCTCCCTGCAGCGCTGGAGGGGTGCGGTGGGGACCGGGGGGGGGGGGCACACACAAAGTGCCGCCCCCTCCCCTAAAAAAAGGGAGAAAAAACACGAAGTGGGGCTCGCCCGGCCCCACAGCGGCCCCTGCCTCTCCCCCCCCCCCTTTTTCCTTACCTTCCACGGCGGCGAGCAGCGGCAGCAGGGCGAGGGGCAGGCAGCAGAGCCACAGCGGCCCCATGGTGCGCGCCGGGCCGGGCATCAGAGGCGGCGCGGCCGGCGCTCCATGGAGGCGGCGGTGGGGAAGGGGGCGGGGGGGGGGGGGGGGGGGGAAGCGGCGGAGCCGAACCGAGCCCCTCGCTGGGGCTGGGGCCGCCGCCGGCGCGGGCACGGCCGCGGGCACGGAGCGCACCGCCGGCCGGGCCGAGCCACCGCCGCCGCCGCGCGGGGGAGCTCCCAGCGCCGCCCGCCCCGCCCCGGGGAGCCGCTCGGCCGGCGGGGGCTGCGGCCGGCTGGGCGGCGGGCGGCGGCGGCGGCGGTGGGGAGGGGTGCGGAGGAGAGCGGAGGCAGAGCGGAGGAGGGCGGCGGGCGGAGGGCGGGCGGCGGCTCCCCCCGCGCCGCGATGGTTCCTCCCGGAGCTGTCGATCACCCGCAGAAAGCCGCGGGTTCAGTCCAAATCTGCCCCGCCGGGGCCGCCGCAGGCGGGCCGAGCCTCTGCCCGGCAGCGCACCCCGGGCTGAGCATCCCTAGAGCCGGGGAGAGAGGGAGGTGGAGGAGGGTGAGCTGGAGTGCGCTGCTGTGATTGCTGGTGTGTGCTGGGTGTGAGCTGGTGTGTGCTGGGTATGAGCTGGTGTGTGCTTGTGTGCACTGGTGTGATTGCTGGTGTGTGCTGGGTGTGAGCTGGTGTGTGCTGGGTGTGAGCTGGTGTGTGCTGGGTGTGAGCTGGTGTGTGCTGGGTGTGAGCTGGTGTGTGCTGGGTATGAGTTAGTGTGTGCTTGTGTGCGCTGCTGTGATTGCTGGTGTGTGCTGGGTGTGAGCTGGTGTGTGCTTGTGTGCACTGATGTGATTGCTGGGTATGAGTTAGTGTGTGCTTGAGTGCACTGATGTGATTGCTGGTGTGTGCTGGGTATGAGCTGGTGTGTGCTGGGTATGAGTTAGTGTGTGCTTGTGTGCACTGCTGTGATTGCTGGTGTGTGCTGGGTGTGAGCTGGTGTGTGCTGGGTATGAGCTGGTGTGTGCTGGGTATGAGCTGGTGGGTGCTTGTGTGCACTAGTGTGATTGCTGGTGTGTGCTGGGTATGAGTTAGTGTGTGCTTGTGTGCACTAGTGTGATTGCTGGTGTGTGCTGGGTATGAGCTGGTGTGTGCTTGTGTGCACTGCTGTGATTGCTGGTATGTGCTGGGTATGAGCTGGTGTGTGCTGGGTATGAGCTGGTGTGTGCTGGGTATGAGTTAGCGTGTGCTTGAGTGCACTGGTGTGATTGCTGGTGTGTGCTGGGTGTGAGCTGGTGTGTGCTGGTGTGCACTGGTGTGATTGCTGGTGTGTGCTGGGTATGAGCTGGTGTGTGCTTGTGTGCACTGATGTGATTGCTGGTGTGTGCTGGGTATGAGCTGGTGTGTGCTGGTGTGCACTGCTGTGATTGCTGGTGTGTGCTGGGTATGAGCTGGTGTGTGCTGGTGTGCACTGCTGTGATTGCTGGTGTGTGCTGGGTATGAGTTAGTGTGTGCTTGAATCCACTGGTGTGATTGCTGGTGTGTGCTGGGTATGAGCTGGTGTGTGCTGGGTATGAGCTGGTGTGTGCTGGTGTGCACTGCTGTGATTGCTGGTGTGTGCTGGGTATGAGCTGGTGTGTGCTGGGTATGAGCTGGTGTGTACTTGTGTGCACTGGTGTGATAGCTGGTGTGTGCTGGGTATGAGCTGGTGTGTGCTTGTGTGCGCTGCTGTGATTGCTGGTGTGTGCTGGGTATGAGCTCATGAGTGCTAGTGTGTGCACTGGTGTGTGCTGGGTGTGAGTGCTGGTGTGTGAGCTGGCTGCAGGCAGGGGAGGGGACATGACCAGCAGGAGACTGTTGGGGTTGTTCGGCCGGGAGAAGACTCCTTAAAGGGGAGACCTTAGAGCAGCTCCAGTGCCTAAAGGGGCTGCAGGAAAGCTGGAGAGGAGCTTTGGACAAGGGCCTGTAGGGACAGGACAAGGGGAATGGCTTTAACCTGCCAGAGGGGAGACTGAGATGAGCTCTTAGGCAGAAGCTCTTCCCTGTGAGGGTGCTGAGGCGCTGGCACAGGGTGCCCAGAGAACACCTCTTAGAGTCAACCCAGGTGGGGCAGGAGCACAGGTTCACTCATATTCCCTCTGTGTGGGGCCATTGTGGGTTGGTCACAAACCCGGTTCACACCACACAAAGTCAAGCAGTACCCTCCCTGAAGGTGCAAGCTGACCCAGCTCCACCTCTTCATCACACTCCAGATCTGACCCTTGTGCACTTCACAAGTGTTTGGAGGCGATCAAGGCTCCCTGATGGTATTGGCCATGTGCATGAGCCAAGTGGGCTTCCCCAACTCACTGTGGCCAGCTTCAGGCTCTGAGCACCTTTGGAAGCTCCTACCACAGCAGATGTTACTGGTCATACAAGTTGGCCACACATTCAATGCAGCAGCCTCCAGAGAATCCTATGCGCCACCTCCTTTCATCTTTAGTGCCTCATTAGGGTTCACTCTTGCATGGAGAGAGCTCAATTCATCATGGAAGGAGGCAGGAAGGCAAGGGACAAGCAGTGGTCTTGCTGCTACTGCCTCCAGATGTGTTCTTCTGTAGGACTAGAAGCCCAAGTATCAGGCTCCGTTATAGTCCCCTCCCTCCCCGCTGCTCTGGAGCACTCAATATTTCCCATCAGATGTTAGAAAGCACTCTCCATCCCCAACCTTCTCAAACCACCATTTCAGCCTTTCCAGATCCCCAGGCTCTTGTTGTGTCCTACAAGTGCCCTGGGCAGGTACATCCCAGAGGATCCGCAGAGTCCAAGAGGAAGCAGCAGCCATGTGTGTTTGCCAGTGCCCACCCAGACCCTCAGGATTTTCTTGCAGCTCTCCAGGGCTGCGTTGCAAGACACAGTGGGAATTTTGTCCTGAGGAGGGAACAGTCACTGCAGACCTTCCCTCTCCTTTGAGCATCCCCTTTGGCTGTTGCTGCTAGGGATGGGATCTTGGACTATGCAGGTTGTCTGACTGCTGCAGTGATTTTGGAGCTCTTACATAGTCCTTGGGCTAAAGTTTGTCCCCTGACGATGCTCTTCAGAGTAAGTCATGAACTGTGAGCTCTGTTCCCACCTCATGCCTTCACTCTGCTCCCAAGAAGGGCTTCCTATGCCAGTGGCAAACCAGCAAGTGCCACAAAGCATGACTCCATGATGAGTGATGCCGGACCTCCTCCAGTGTCCAGGTCTGCACCTTCCTCTTGCTCTGCACCAGTCAGTGGCCTCCATGTAAAATGGTCATGGACCAAGGAGCGCTGTACATCCTCACTGCTGTCCTCACCCAGACAGGAGACGTGATGCTCTCCTTGCTGCCATCTGATGCCAAGTGGCCACAGCCCTGTTGCAAGGACTGCGCAGTGGGTCCCACCCTGGGAGGCAAGGTCTATTGGGTTTACTGGTTGCTGCTGCCTACATCTGACCCTTGGGCAGTTCCATCATTGAACTCTCCACCCTGCTGCAAAAAAAAAGGGCTGCTTTTCCCAGATAAAGGAAAAGCAGCAGGACTGGGGTTCCAGAAATGGGACAGCCACCACTTTGGTTGCACCGACGTGTTAGTTTACATCAAACGATGGTTCCCAGGCAGACAGAGCCAAGAGAGATGACATCTAAAGGACATTAAAATGGGTTTGATGGTGACGCATTCACTGTAGCATTTTCAGTTCCTGGTGCAGGAAGAACAGGTTTCATTTGCACATGAAGCCTTTGGCTCATCACACCTGCAGGAGGTGGCTTCCTCTCGCCCTCTGCAAGGTTAAAGAGGTGCAGCGGGCAGCAATCAGGAGTCATGGCAGGCACAAAGGGAAGCAGCATGAGTGAAGCAGCATCTGTGCAACGGGTGGTGTAGAGCTGCCATGCACAGACTCCAGGCTCAGTGCAGCATCCTGGCGCCAGGGGCGAGAGGGAGCATCACCCAAGGAGCCTCAGCTACCACAAGGATCCAGGAGAAGCCTCTTGTAATTGGGGTCTAGGAAAGCTCCTTCTTCCAGAGCCACTTGCTTAAACTCAATCCCGTCATCAAGGGAGAGGGTAGTTAATTCTGGGTGTGAGGGATGGGGATTGAGTCCCATGGTGGCACCTGGGGCAGTAAATCTGCCTGTAAAGACCCACGGAGAGCAGGCAGGCAGCAGGTCTGGAGCCATGGAGAGACTCCCTACAAGGAGACCAGCACCCTTGCCTAATCTCTGCATGCAAAAAGAAAGCTTTTCAGCTCCTGGCTGAATCCCTGGGGCTCCAAGGAGCCTCGAGCTTCCAGGGGCAGGTCAGGAGGAGGAAAACACGAGCATATTTTCGGAGAAATTGGAGTCTCCCTGCAGCAGCAAATCCCATAAAGCAAAACCCAAGTGAAAAGCAGCTTCAGCTGTTCTGGCTCTGGCTGTGACGGGCTTGGCCCCAGGCCAGTGAGTTAATTCTGCCTATTAACTAATAGTATGGTATTGTCGGTAAAGATTCATTGCTAAACTTATGTTTTTAAGATATCACTTATCATTTAAACACTTAACTCTTGATCCCCAAACATGTACAGGCACCATGTAGCCCTGCAGCCACGCTGCAGATAACCAAAGCCACCTCTGGCTGCGGAGGCCGGGCAGCATTTAACCCTTTTTCCCCTCTTTGTCTGAATGATAAATTGTCTCGAGTAGCACTTTCCAAAGGAGAGCAGGACCGCTTATTATCACCTACTTAATGTTCCCAAGCTCAGCAGGGATGGAGGAACTGTTCCCAATAGCAGGTTTTTCTAACCTCTGTGAAGGGTGTGTGAACAGCAAGAAACCCCATGGATATATGTGACTGCAGGTTGTCACGGAGAACAGCCTCCCCCTGTCCTGCCTTGCCTTTTCCTGTCACCCCAAACGCTCCATGGTCCAGCGAGGAGCAGGTCCGGTCCTTTGGGAAGAAAGGTGGGAGCAGCAAGGGCTGAGACCCGGGTGCTGCCCAGCGCCTCGCAGCTCAGGATGCTCAATCCCTCATCTGTGTGGTAAAGAGACGCTCTTCAGGGACCTCAGTGCTCCCTCACACCCTTCCCAGAGTGGACCAGCATCCTTACCAGTTTGACTGGTCTCCGGCCACCATTCACACAGGCCTTGGC